TCCGTCTGCGTCCGCCGAAATTGCCTGTCAATAAATCTGACTCTCCCTTGGCTATTCTTCACAGTTTAATACATTCAATGACTGTCTTTTATAGTTTAACACTTCTATGATAAACATTGGATTCTATATAAAGATAACGATTTGCAACTTTTGGCAAAAGCTTCACAAGCATAGCTCTAAGGTGCTACAATTCTCTTAAGATACACTTCTAACTACAAATTCTGAAACACTTCTACAATTATGAATTTTCTAATTATGTATTCCAAAACACTTCTAATTATGATTTCTTAATTATGAATTATTAAACCCTTCTATTATAATTTCTTAAAACCCAGTTCTAAACCCAAATTTCCTACAATATATAGAGAGAGATATTGAGACGAGTGAATGAGCAACATTATTTGAGGAATTTAATAGACAAACCAAACTTCCTGCAGAAAAACTGGCATTTATAACAATTACTGAGGATTAAAAACATAATGACATTTCCTGTGAAGAGTTTTTGATATTTTATTATCCCAAAAGTCCCATTTTGTCTTCTGTGACGTCTGACCTTTGACCCCTGAGGGTCGTTCCTTCAGACCAGGCCGAGGGCAGAGCCGAGCCCACGCTGCAGGTCCAACTTCAGGTAAACTCTGCAGAACGAGAGGAACACGCCGAGAACCGAGAACCCGACCAGGACCCACAGAACCTGAGCGCTGAAATACAGAGGAGCCAGTCTGCAGAGGGAGATGATCAATCAATCAACCAACCAACCAACCAACCAACCAACCAACCTACCTACCAACCAACCAACCTACCTACCAACCTACCAACCAACCTACCCACCTACCAACTAACCAACCTACCTACCTACCTACCTACCAGCCAACCAACCTACCCACCTACCTAACTACCAACCTACCAACCAAACAACCAAACAACCTACCTACCTACCAACCAACCAACCTACCAACCAACCCACCTGCCTACCTACCAACCAACCAACCTACCCACCTACCAACCTACGAACCTACCAACAACCAACCAACCAACCAACCTACCTACCAACCAACCCACCTGCCTAACTACCAACCAACCAACCTACCCACCTACCTACCTACCTACCAACTAACCAACCTACCTACCTACCTACCTACCTACCTACCAGCCAACCAACCAACCTACCTACCTACCAACCAACCAACCAACCTACCAACCAACCAACCTACCTACCTACCTACCTACCAACCAACCAACCAACCTACCTACCTACTAACCAACCTACCCACCTAGCCACCTACCTACCTACCAACCAACCAACCTACCTACCAACCAACCAATCAACCAACCTACCCACCTACCTATCTACAAACCTACCAACCAACCAACCTACCCACCTACAAACCTACCTACCAACCTACCAACCTACCAACCAACCAACCTACCAACCAACCAACCTACCAACCAACCGACCGATCAATCAATCATGCTTCTATAACAGTGTAGAAATAATCTGTTACAAGTACAAATCCTGCAATCAAAATAAGTAGTATTAGCATGAAAATATACTTAAAGTACAATATACAGTATACATATTGACGCATTCATTTGTTCACCACGTTAAAGGTGGAGCTCATTTAAATACTTTATATAATTCTGAGTACTTTGATCTATAATAATACATCATCATTTATTTCTTCATGATATTTATGTTTTAATAATCTGAATCTGTAAAGTAACTAAAGTACTGGAGTAAAAAGTATAAAGTAATACAAACTGGAAATACCCGAGTAAAGTACAAGTACCTCAGAATTGCACAGTACAGTATCGTAGTAAATGTATTATCTGGTGTATTAAAGTCAGATTTAAGAGAAGTTTGAGATAAAAGTGATTTTTATTTTATTATTTCATGTTTGTTGACTTTACTGAAGAATAAAAACTAAGAATTTAATATTTATGAACAAAGTGATCCATCTGTCTTTGTCTTAAATATGTTTTATAAATCATTAACCAATACTTAACATATGAAATGTTATGATTGTTAAAATAACATAAATGACTCATTTATTGATCGTTTCATTGTTTGTTAACAGTAAACTAAGTATTACCTAAAGTTTAATTTACCATTTGATAACAATGTTGATTATAAAATATTGATGATTTTAAATAACAGTAAATATACATACCGTCTCTGAGCCGACTCAGAATATCCATGAAAGTATCGGAGGCGTCCGTATAAATACAGCAAACCGCAGACTGAAGACAAACCTGAAGCACAAAACATTCAGCTGAAGCTCAAACTGAGACTCAGGTGTGTTGTTGTTGTTGTTGTTGTTGTTGTTGTTGTAATTGTTGTTTTGTGTCGGCTCACCTTGACTGAAGAAGACTCCAGACGTCCACAGGACAGCGATGAAGATCGGGAAATACTCTGAACAGTTGGCCCTGAACACACCGGAGACTCTGGAGTTAATGTGAGGAAGCTGCTTTCTCTCTAATGACCACCAGGGGGCCACTCTGGTTTATAGAAGTCTATAAGAAAACTGTGTCGGCCAAAAAACAAGATTGCATGGTCAAAGTACTATATGTACCTCTGAGATGTAGTAGAATAAAAGTACAATATGTACCTCTGAGATGTAGTAGAGTAAAAGTACTA